CTGGAGACATTAAACTACAAATAAAGTTGAGTCCACCAAAAATTTTGATTTACCGATCAAGCCGATTTTGCGGCCTGAAAAAGAGCATTTGCGGCACGTATTGGTTCTCTTGTTTAATCAAAATAAAATCGCAATTGAAAGTCATTGTTTACTGGTTTAATTATATGATAAACACGGTCCATCCTATAGAGCACCTGAGACATGGTTTCGACAACTTTAAAGTAATGTGCAAAGATGAGGACTTACAGCAGTGATATGGAAATGAAGAAACTTTGTAAACGAGAACTACACGTCAATTGCAAAATTGCAGTCACTTGGCATATTATACTTCAAAGCTTCGAAAGAAAAACAGTCTAGTACCAAATTATGACGAGTGAACAAAAATGGATTTATTGGAAAAATCTGACGCGGAAAAAATCATTAGTTTCACCTTACGAAGCCAGTCCTTGTTCACCTTCAGCAGAAAGACCATGCTTTGTGTAGTGCCAGAGCGGTATGTTATGAAATCTTCTAACCCGACGAACCGCTAAAGCGTACCTGAGACAATAAATTATTAGCTTAAATTACGCATTAAACGAAAGACGACCGAAAAGTGTTGGAAGATATAGTAAAGCGATTTTGTTACACGACACTGTGCCAACTCACACAGCAAAACCAGTGAAAGACACTTTGATGGGACATTCTTCTGCACCCGCCGTACTTTTCAGACCTGACGCCAACTGAATATCATCTCTTTGCATGAATAGAGCATCCGCTTGCAGAGCAGCACTTTAGTAATTTCTAAGGAATTGGAAGGTACATCGATAATTGGTTTACCACAGAAGACAAGCAGTTTTTCTGGTTTGGTGTTCATTTTTCTGATATGGGATAAACTGAAATATGGGCGAAATCTGTAGAAGACATTGGCCTACATTTTGAATAAATGTAATATTAATTGAATAATTTTTTTGAAAATTACGTACTTTCTTTAGCAAAAGGAACTTATGCATACACTTCCTATTATGCTGTGCGTGGAATGTTACTAGCTTATTTCAATAAAGACTTCAACTTTTCTATTATTTTAAAAGATAATGGAATATTTTCTTAAGAGTTATATATTGCTCTTATTCATATTCTTATTGGGATCATACTATAATACAAGTTTGATATGAAAATTTTATCTGCAAAGATCAGAGCTAAATTTGTTATTGTTCATAAATTTAAAATAAAACTTCAAACACTTTACTTACTGTAATTTACTGTGACATCAGCCTTCTACAATGTCAAACATTATTTTCAAGACCAATATATAAGACTCTCCTTTTCTTTTGATTTGATAAATTGCAAAATTTTTATTATCGCCTGTCAATTGGTTGAGAAACCAATTAATTAAAGATACCACCGAGGGCAAAATTTTTACAAGATATTAACAGACCTAGTGCCTTTCTTCCTAATAAAGTCCCTCTTCCGTGGCTTCGAGCCAGCGCCACACAAAACACAATGTCACTACCAAAGTAACGTTTCTGCCGCTGTGTGGAGCGCATTTTGCAGCAATGAAACATCGAACGAACAAAAGCAATGCAGTAAATTTGCTGTGAGCAAAATTTACTTCACAAGGAAAGCTAATTTAGTAACTCAATTTTGCTGTCAACAGCAAAATTCTTTCACCAGCGGAAATTTTGATTTTGCTGACGTAGCTGCAGCGCTCAATTAGATTCAAGCCTGTCAACTGCTGAATAGAAAGGATATTCAAAATCTACTCATTTAAATGTTAAATAAATTTTTAAATGATTTGCGAAAATCAAAAAACAAGAAACTAAGTTTAAATAAAAAACTATCTGCTGCAGCATTCTTCCAGCAATTACCTTACTTTACCTGTAAATATAATTAAAACGATATTGTTGACAAAAAACTGGGACGTAAACAATGCTGGCGCAACGTTGAGTCCACGGTGCTCGACATAAAAGAGGGATTCTACAGAATTCAGAACAATACTAATGAATACTTTAAGTCTTTTGTGTTGAACTGGCGTAAAGTTGAAGTGCTTCTTGTCTACTGCAACAAAAGGATACCCAAAGGACAACAGGTGCTGCACAATATTTAAAATTTATTAAATTTATTCAAAGAGGGCATAAGCCTTCTTGTTATTTGGAGAACAAATCAGAAATTTTACTGAGACATAGTACACAATTATTGTCAATGACTTCAACAAGTTAATTTTAATATCTTCACTTCGTTTCTTCGAAATTGACATTTATTGTGAGCAAAATTGATTAATGAGTCTCTGAAGCAATTCAGTCTTTGACTTTTACTTAAAGCAAAGTTTAATTGAGCATTCTGTAGTATTTAAGGGAAGCAATATACAATTTCGGAATTAAATATTAATTGTTATTTAAATTAGTGTTCCGCATAATAGTCAACAACCGCAATGATGTTGTTTTGACTTCTAATTACCGCAATTGCAATTAACTTAAGAGAATTTAAATTATGGTTTCAGTATATGTCATTGACAGATTGAGATTAATTGAGTCACCAAAAATATATAAATATATATACAAAATATATATATGTATATAAAAGTTTAAAAATTATTTAATATACGTTAGTAATTTTATTTAAATAATAAACAGGTTAAAGTGAAAATGTGACTATGAAAGATTTAAAAAAATATATGTGAATATATATAAAAGAAATATTTTTTAATTGGTAGTTTTAGTTCTTATTTTATTCTACAAATTTGGTATGAAGCGACTTAAGCGTCCTTTGTCCTTTGGTCCTTTGGTATGAAGCGACTTAAGCGTCTTTGTGTAACATCCCAAAACAATGCCAGAATAGTGCTGTTTAAGTGTTGACTCAGCCTGTCATAATGTGTTTTAGCAGACTTTCTGCATTTCTTACTTCACAGTAGGTATTTGAAGATTACGATAAATATCAGCATTTTGCACATACCAGTAGGCGTTAACTGCTTCAAAAAGTGCTTTGTTTTGGAACCTTTGTATTATATCTCTTTTTTGTTTTTTGCACAACTCTAAATTTTGTCGACATAGAGCCATATAGGTTTGAGGATTTGTTTATATATCATAAGTTTGTTTTGCTAAGATACTTTAGATCTTCTTCCAATAAGCCAACTTATTTTTTATATTTAATATTTAAGTCAGTTAGTTTTTTCTTGATCTGTAATGTATATACATTCCACTGAAATAATGATGTAGTGGACATCACGTATAAATTGATATATCATATCAATATCATTTTATTATGCTATAGTGGAGCTAAGATTCAAGATGTGAAAAATATCCAAATCGAGACAGTCCAGAGAAGTTTTGTTAAAAATATTTTCAAACCAGTAGACTAAAATCACATATTAGCATAATAATTTGAAGATAAGTGATTATATTTAAAGACTATACATATCACTTAAGCACTTATATTCATTGCAGTCATTGTAATTCCTTAACTACAAACATGGGAAAAAATGTAATATTTCAACTTTTTACTTACACAGTGTGGAGTAAATAAATTTTTAATATTTAATTTTATATTTTTACATGAAAAGTCTATTAATATGTTTTCATATATTTTTTTTTTTTTTGATTAAAATATATACCAAATTGGCTCTTAAGCCAGGCACTCACAAATTCCCAACATGTAAAAGTCAGAGTGCAAAAAATAGCATTTACTAAAGTATAAATATTAAAGCTTATTTTCAGCCCATTTTGAACGAAAATTCCAGTCAACATTGCAGTTCATCAAGGAATGTACCAACCTCCAATAGATCCGCACCAGTTGCAGTACGAGTAGCATTCACAAGTGTAAAGCAGCAAAATTGCATGTTGCACTTGTTTGTCGGCCAACCTCAGAGCACGCTTTAACGCACTAATAAAGGCAAGCTGAGGCCATTGAGTGAAGTTGTTAAATTTTCACTGCATATCAATGGCATTTTGTAGTTAGTAGTGCATTGTGTAGTGTACATTGTACAGACCCGCAATCAAGTCAAAACTGCTTAACTACATTGCAATTAACTTGTTAAACTTTGAACTACAATTTTTAAAAATAATTTCAACGTGTATCCAACTAAAAATAGCAACGCGAAATCAACACAACAGATAAGTGCCATAAATACATTACTATAAAGCAACTACTTTTAATTAGTTAATTATTAAACTTTTATAAATATATAATAGTTATTTATAAATAAAAAATGTAAATTTTACGCTTGTACATAAATAAAAATAGTCACAGTATCACGCCTTCTGCTTTTGTCTTTTACTAATATTTTTGTAATATAATTTAATCAAAACTGTTAAAGTTTATAAAATAATAAAAACTCACATTAAAATATGAACAGGAACTTCTACTGTTGGGGAGCAATTGTGTATGTTCCATGCATTCGTCATACGCCCTGAAGGGCAGTCTTTGTTTGCTCAAAGTATTTCATCCTAAATGTATGCTACAAAATCATATGTAAATATATCCAAAGCTGCTTAAGCAAACAAACATGCACAACACAATTTTCATACAACATAAACAACTCTTTGTTCTCACTATTATAAAATATTATAATATATACTTAAATAGTAACGGCATAAGTGACTACATATATTTGCTACATTTTCTATTTCTGTAAAATCATATGTGAGAAATATAAAGACAATGGGATCTTAAGGTACACCACCTGGTTTCTTTATTGGACTTAGCTGTAAGTGTCTAACAGAAAGATAAAAACACATTTCCTAATAGTATGGATACAGGAGATCACCCTTAAGCTTGAAGAGAAATCCTTTTTATACATTTTATTTAAAATTAATATCCGGAAAGGATATGAATCATAGCTATTTGTTTAAGACAGCAGTTGTTACTACACTGGGTTATTTTTATAATGCAGTCACTGTCTTTAAAAAGTAGCTAGAGTTTTGAAGTAGCTTTATTAGTATCAATGATAGGGAATAAATTTAATAAGCTAAAGACTTATTGGTCTACAATAGTACAAAATTCTTGATGAGTTTTGCTAATTCAGACATTATTAAGAAACTTTACACTGAAAGAAAATATATTAAGGATATTAGTCAAAGTTATCAATATCTTTGATAACTGAGTTCAAGAAATCTTTAAATAGTTTAGTGTCTTAATTTTAGTAAGCTTTATTAAGCTGGTTAATTCATGTTAGCGATTAGAGAATCAAATTGGTTAGATATTGAGAACCAACTTCTAGGAAAGCTTGTTGTGACATACTGGTGATGTGGTCCAAAATCGAAAATCACACCATTAGTGAGATTGGTACACTCTCTACTAATTATGATCTGACTCTTCGTAAAGTTACCGATTGAAGATTCAAACTAATGCAACACTTTAAGAAATGCATTGGAGTTATTTAATTCCAAACGTCATAAAAAATATGTCTACGAGTAAAAATGATTGGAAAAATCGGCAATTTTTTTTTTTGCGGTTTTCGTACCGGTACAATTAAAAAAAGAAAATGGAGCGGTTCATTACAGATTTCCTTTTGAATAAAAATTACATTATTTTTATTTTTCGGCTCAGTTTCAAATAAACATTTTTTATTTAACCATGTTCCAGAAATACATAGTTAACGCAAACAGACTTCCACTTTTATAGACAAAGTTGCTTTTGAATTGTTAATACAAGTTCAACTTTTTAGAAGCTTTGGTAACTAAGACGTAAAACGATATTTATTTAATTTTTATGGAATATTCGGAATATGTTTTTGAAACATTTATGATTTCTGGTGTAGTTCCAGTTCGCAGCGCTGAACAAAACAAATATGATCACAAGTTTTGTGTAGTGCAAAAGCTACAAATGACATGTAAAAGAAAACAGTAGAATGTATATGAATATACAAACACTTAGGCATTTTAAAAGGATTTAATATACTTTTGTATGCATACTCAGGATATGTGAGTTGACACAATGGTAAACAAAGCCACACAAAGGACAGCAAACATACAACAGAACCAAAGGTAACATCTCTTTTGTCTCCTAAAATACCTCACATTGTGGAATTAAGATGTGTTGGCATGCCAAGAATTTGGCGCTTCCAGCAGTGAGATTTTTTAACAGATTTAAGCAATTCGCTTCATATTATCAAACCAAGTGTTGTAATATTATGAAGCAAATAAGTATAAACAGTAAAACATATACAAAACTGTAAAAAACGAGATAAAATGTTTGTGAGAAATATTTCACTGAAAGTTTTGGTAAATTAAATTAGTATGTATATTCATCTTCACACATAAAAGTATATAAAATTTCAACAAAAAACCAGAAGTCATCATGTTTTTCCGGACTGAGTAACACTCATACGCACTGTGGGCCCATAAATATTTTTTGGAATATTTTCAACACATGTCACTGAAAGTATTTTGCACTTTCATTATCATTAGTTTTCATTTAACTCAAATGTAAAAGTCAACACCTGCAGGCGAAATAAACCCAAATAAAGAGCTCAATGTAATAAATGTTTCCTTCAGTCCTTTAGTCCTTTTCTTGTTGACGTTATTAAAAGTTTTGCACGTATTTTAATTTTCCTTTTTTTTAATTTTATTTTATTTAACAACTTTATTAAAAATTAACACACAAAAAACAGCTTATAACGTTTTTGCTCGGTTTTTAGTTCTGAATTGCCATGGGCGAATGGTTTGGCCTTTTTTCGTTTAAATTCAATATTAAAACAAAAGTAAACAAACTGCCCTTGTCTGTGCTGAACTTTAAGTAAAAACCACATTTTTGTCACTGTGAGGACATGTGTGTGTCACCTTTGGTGGTTCCTGTCAGTTGTGGTAATTAATGCTGTTCTTGTATACTCAGTTTCTATATATCATGAATTCTAAAATCGTTAATGAGCTTTGACGTAGTATAAATACCCGCACTTCTTTTCTACAAATTTAATATTCGCTGAGCAAAATCAGACTTATAATACATAATTTTTATATCATATTTTTAAATTTTACATCAAATTGTTATTTTTCGCATCATACGATGATTTTATTTTTCAATTTTATATAAACTTATTTCCAATAACACCAATTTAATGTTTTTTTAAAACTCCTCCTTGAGGACCTGCACCAGTTACAGGACCGGGCTTTAAATAGCATTTTATGCTTCGCAAAAGGTTCTAGATGGTTTTAAACCCTGAGGTTTTTATTATTTATATACGGCATCACAATGGGCCAATAGGCCTAAGTGGATCCACTAGGGATCACCGGTATAACCTAACCTAACCTAACCTAAAGCTATTGTGGAACTAACTGAAACAAGCCCACTACATTATTTACGATTTCAGGTTTTTAGTTATAGTTTTTTTAGGATTTAATAGAAAATAACAACAATAAACATGTCTCTAAAAGAAAAAAATATAAACGTTTATAGAACTCTGGTAGTTTCTATATACTCTGGTAGTTCTAGAGTAGTAATATCTAAATGCTCATCATGCTCGGTTGCTTCCTTAGAAAAAGCTAAAATATCATATAAATAACTAAAAACGAATGATGTGGTTCGAAAGATTGAGTCCATGTGGCGTTAAAACGTTTGAGTTGCGTTTTTAAGCCCAAATGGCATTACGACAAATGCAAACATACCCACCGAAGTGGTGACTGCAATATTGCAAATATCTTCCAGTTTCATTTGAAAGTTATAATAGACTCGATTAATATCAGTCTTAGAAAATATTGCACTTCGATGAAGTTATATGCATAACAATGTTTATTAATACAACAATTAGTTAAAAATAAATTAACGAATAGTTTACATGAAGCTTTATATGAATCTTTTTGATCCCATAAGAACTGTTTTATAAAGACATTCTCAGAACTCCTAGTTCAAGTTAACCAACGAGAAGATTATATAGCTTCTCTCCATGAAGCTGGCAGAGTAAACCTCTCATATGGAAAAGCTTTCTACCTTCTTCGGTTACATGTCTAGCAGAGAACTACAACGAGTCTATATTTTAACACTCAGAGTATACTCATAAAAAACCAATTATCAATCCGTATAAATGTTTCTTTCATACATTACTTATATGAGTTCACATTCGCCA